GGCGGTCGTCTCTCTAATTTGTCCGTTCAAACAAAAAGCAATTTGTTACCCAGCGGACTGACTCTTGGTCCGACGCTGCGCGTCCCGCGCGAGTCGAGAGAGAACGAGATAGAGCGGGAAAGAGGGAAGAGCATAGAGGGACGAAAGCAAGATGGAAAACAAGGTGAAAAAGAGAGAAAGAGCACGAACGCGATCGAGAGAGAAAGAGAGGTAGAGGAAAGAGGAGGTGGTGGCTGGTTGGCGATGAAGAAGGTGGAGGAGGAGGAGGAGGTAGTGGCTGATTTAAACCTGTCTGGCGGCCCGCTGCGCGCTTAACAACTGAAAAACAAACATGGCGCCGAGAGAGCGCACTGACCAGCGGGAGCCCACGTATGCCAAGCGCACCGAGACCATAAAGTGCTTCTGGTACCCCCGGAACCCGCTGTTCTTACTCCTTTATAATATCCATTTTGTCCCATTGAACACCGTACCCGAACCGACCTATTTCCCGTTCGACCGATCGGAATCGCGTCGGTTTTCCACTTTTTTCCCCCGCTTTCGAAACACCCGAAACGTCGCGCAAAGTATGCCCTTTTGTCGAATCTTCTTACGAAGGTCCCTGGATGATACACGGAGTATCGATGTCAGAACTTACCCCTGGGGTGCTAGCAGCCGCTCCGAACGGATACTTTGTCCACTCGAGCTTCTCCTCCTGCGTCGTGTCCAAGAGAACAACTGTAACGAAAAGAAAATACAAGGTAGGATCAGTATCAAACATTCACGAGCATCCTTCGATTCCGTAGACACACGCTGCACTTTGTCGTCCGCGCGAATTCGATCGACGAATTCTCTAGAAAGTGAAAAATAAAATGGAACGCGAATTCGCATGTCGAACGCTGGTTAAGACGATCTCCTGGCTCATGGAAATACTCGTCGGTGTATCGAATCGCGCGGGAGAGCCCTAGCAAAGATTTCACCGTGAAAAGTCAACGTTTCGAGGGGGATGAGGGAAACGACTCCCTCTCAAAATGGCGGATCCTCGAGACCGTGCTAAAACACCTTGCTTCTCGGCAGCTCTCGTTCTCGTCCTACACGAGAAGGGTGAGAAAGCCCCAGCAGCGGTAAAGAGAGGAGAGGAAAGGAGAGGTGAGGAGAGGCGAATGGAAGAGAAAGGAAAGGACGGGGGATGAGACGAGAGAGAAAAAGAGGGAGAAGGGTCGCGCGTATCGTTGCACACGCAGCACAGCAGGTTGTGCGTGGTGTCCTGCGACACGTTCGTAGTGGTGGTCGTATCGACCGGCTCTCGGCGGCTGCTGCTGCTACAATCCACCCCCTCGGCGTTCACCCTCGCTCACCCCTTTCTACTCTCTTTCCCTCTCCGTCGCGGTATCTCTCTTCGTCGCGTGTCTTTCACCCCGTTTCGGAATCTCTCTCTATCTTTTCGTCTCGCTTCCGCGTGCTCCTCTTCCTCCTCCACCCCCACCATCGTCACCGTCATCCCCCGGGTTGACTTTCCTCTCTATCGTTTCACCTCCGTCTGTCCTTCTTCCACGGTGTTCGCTACCGCCGCGACGCTATCGGTCCAACCCTCTTCACTCCTTTTCTCTCTCGTTCGTGCTCTCTCTTCGCTGGCCGCCCTCCCATCCTCGTCGTTTCGTCTCTTTCCCTCTTGGCCAACTTCAATGCCTCTTTGCTTTTCTGCTCGTCACCGCTCTTTCCTCGTTTCGCGCCACGACCTCGCTTCCTGCTCGCCCTCCAGCCCCTCTACTCTTTCTGTTTTTCTCGATTACCTTTAGCATCTCTTCTCCTCGTCGCACGGTGTTCAGCGGTGCCACGCAGCCATCAGCCGTGCCACCCCCGACGCGCGAGCTTGATCGTCGCCGTAGTCGCCGTCGTCGTCGTCGTCGTCGTCATCGTCGTCGTCATCGTCG